CCACGATATATGCGTCCTCTGTATCCACTGCTGAACTATATGCCAAGGTAAATAATGACCTAACTCGCGTTAGGGACTGGCTTCTTGCAAATAAGTTAAGGTCAAATGTCACTAAAACGGAGTATATGTTTTTAACAACTACTGTGGAATTCATTACCAAATGACATAAAAGCGTCCGAATCTAAAGCTATCTTTAAAAGAAAACTGGCTAGTAGGCAGGCAAACTGTTGACTATATTTTATTATATTTTATTATTTGTACATATTTTTAGTGTAGTTGTACAGTATTTACTTCTGTTTGTATACGGCTTTCATGTAAAGTTACGTAACTTATAAAATTACCGTATTCAAATAAAAGTGAATCAGTAAATCAATCAATCAATAAATCTATCTTTCTGTTGTCTGTCTACCTGTGTCTGTCTGCCTGTCTGTCTGTCTACCTGTGTGTCTGTCTGTGTACCTGTCTGTCTGTCTGCCTGCCTGTCTGTCTGTCTACCAGACTGCCTGTCTATCTGTCTGCCAGACTGACTCGGTTTATACATCTTAACTATTTCTAATTCATTGCCTTTGCCCACCCAAACGATCCCAGAAATCGTTGGACAGAAAGCTTTCAGTCACTCTCCCTTTACTTTACGTAGTGGCAAATTAACTGAATGGCCATGCTGTCTTCGGTCCTACAGGGCAACTGTTAGAACCGCGTGTAAAAAAAAAGCGAAATTTGAAGTCGCAGCATCATGGTATCACCAACGTTGATAAAGAGCAACTAATTCTGGGTGTAAATGTTCGATGGCTGATCATGAAAAGGTTGATACCTGCTTAGATTATGCTTTCCCACAACGTTTCAAAGCTTTGGAGCAATGCCCACCTTCTAATAGAGTTGATACGATGAAATAACTAGTTTTCAGTTCACAAACAAAGCCAGAAAATTGAAATTGGTCTAAGAAGTTGAACATAACAAAGGTTTGTCACGAGAAGTGTTCGACTAACTTCTTACCTCTAGGTCGAATCAAATTATAATCTAATTTAATCATAATTAATTAATTTAATAATTTTTGCATTTTCCGCTTACCATACCAGCTGCTTCCATAGCTACACGTACTATTACTACTGCGCGTGCGTTGTATCCACGACCCAGGCCTCGGGCTCCCGTGAAGGCTCCCAGAAGGACTAGCATTAGCGCTTGAGGGTGCACTTATACTGTAACCCCGCAATCGATGATGACTCGCTCGTATAGGGACTGGGTTAGACGCTGGAGGAGACATAGCAGCACTGAGTGGCCGCGAGGGACTGGCCAGCTTCTGCATAAGAAGACTAGACTCGATCGTAGTAGGAACGGAGTTGCTCAGATGTCCAGATTTCGGCTCATCATCGGGATTCGGCAGCAGTTCGGAGCTTCCAAAGCTGTTAATACTGGATGACAACTCGGAACTTGGATGAGACGAAAAACAATTTCGATAATCCTACAACGAGATGCAAAGAGAAAGTCAATTAACTTAAGTTGTTAGAGCACTAACTTTGGTTATACTTCGCACAAGGCAACAAAAAAAGTTCAGATTAAGGAAATGAAATTGTCGTCATGGATTCATTTTCTTTCAACGAGTTCGAAAACAAAGTTGTTGCATTCTATACGTAAACTCCTCCCCTACAAACGTTTCAGAAGATTCAGATTACCGCAGCAGAAGACACAAATGGCAAATTTACATAAATGAAAACTGTGATACAAGAGGAGTGTGATAAAAACAAATTGCAATATCGGCGTTTACAGGGCTCGAAAATAACTTGATTTCCAGTCTGTACCTTTGGGCAAACAGCTCTTACATTTCCCTCACCCGCAGCCACTTCGTGCTGGACTTAGTTAATGATTTTGTTAGAGGTTGACTTGCCTGGACCCTCATCCATTGGACAAGTAAGTTACCGCACCGGCAACAAAATCTACCTTTCCAGATTACCGGCCTGGATTTTTTCCGAGCACTGCGTTTAATGGCCGCTGTTGATGTCTTTTACCAAGCACAATACCATTTGTTTACAAAAGCTTACCTTGATTTTAATATTGAGACTTGCTACCTGCTGAGTTTGGCAGTAAGGACAACTGAAAGAAAGAACCAAGAAAACGAGAAATACAAAACAAGTCAACGTTTATAAAAGGAGAAGTTCATTCCAAGGTGGTAGGATTTTTTTCTTTTGGCCAAAAAAAAAGATTATACAAAGGTGGGTTTCTCACCGAAATTTCGACTTCCAAGGAGCTTTCCAACCCTATGAAATTCTCGTCTTAAGTAGCCTGAAATTTGAGATCTGAGAGCNAAGTTGTTAGAGCACTAACTTTGGTTATACTTCGCACAAGGCAACAAAAAAAGTTCAGATTAAGGAAATGAAATTGTCGTCATGGATTCATTTTCTTTCAACGAGTTCGAAAACAAAGTTGTTGCATTCTATACGTAAACTCCTCCCCTACAAACGTTTCAGAAGATTCAGATTACCGCAGCAGAAGACACAAATGGCAAATTTACATAAATGAAAACTGTGATACAAGAGGAGTGTGATAAAAACAAATTGCAATATCGGCGTTTACAGGGCTCGAAAATAACTTGATTTCCAGTCTGTACCTTTGGGCAAACAGCTCTTACATTTCCCTCACCCGCAGCCACTTCGTGCTGGACTTAGTTAATGATTTTGTTAGAGGTTGACTTGCCTGGACCCTCATCCATTGGACAAGTAAGTTACCGCACCGGCAACAAAATCTACCTTTCCAGATTACCGGCCTGGATTTTTTCCGAGCACTGCGTTTAATGGCCGCTGTTGATGTCTTTTACCAAGCACAATACCATTTGTTTACAAAAGCTTACCTTGATTTTAATATTGAGACTTGCTACCTGCTGAGTTTGGCAGTAAGGACAACTGAAAGAAAGAACCAAGAAAACGAGAAATACAAAACAAGTCAACGTTTATAAAAGGAGAAGTTCATTCCAAGGTGGTAGGATTTTTTTCTTTTGGCCAAAAAAAAAGATTATACAAAGGTGGGTTTCTCACCGAAATTTCGACTTCCAAGGAGCTTTCCAACCCTATGAAATTCTCGTCTTAAGTAGCCTGAAATTTGAGATCTGAGAGCCGCCATCTTGGAGAATTCTTGGCAGCCTGGTGACAAGTGTGTGACGTCAATGCGTTCAACCTAAGTTTGTTTAATCACTCAAAACGTCTTGTTTCTTCGTTTCGGAGCTGCACAAGAAACCATGGCCACAAAAACACAATCCGAAACGAAGAAAAAAGAAATTTTGAGAGATTTATTCTGTCTGCCAAACTCAGGTTGAGCGCACTGATGTCACGTACTCGTCAACAGGCTGTTAGGAGTTCTCCAAGATGGCGGCCCCCGATTCAGTCTCGAATTTCGAGCTACTTTAGACGAGAATTTCATGGGGTTGGAAAGCTCTTTAGAAGCTGAAATTTTGGTGAGTAACCTACCTTTATATAATCTTTTTGTAGGAGAAAAGGAAAAAAATACATGTTCGAAAAAGTTTTAATCTGAGTCATAGCACCTTCAACTGAGTACAAAAGAGTTAAGCAACCGAACAGGAACGTCCACTGACGACGGGAAAGCGCGCGGAAAGGACTGAACGTGACCTCCGGTGCGCAATTTGCCGTTCTGTCATTAGTCATGCCAATTGTTTGGTTTGCACGCGCCGTCGTCAATTGACGTTCCCATTCTGTTGGAAAATCAGCCATTGTAGTCTAACTATGGTTCGACGTCATGACGGCCGAATACTAAACAAAGTTCAGCATCACGTCCCCTCCAGCTAAAACCTCACAGTATCTTTGACGGCTTTTCTAATACTACAAACGCTTCAGGAGACAGGAAGGGGGCGTTGACAATAAACGAAAATAAATAAATATATGTAAAGAAACTAAAATCTAGTACACGTTCTCAGAAATTCATCACTGCGGGTTACTCAGCCTCCAACTCACATGACTCTAAGAACTCGTTACTTATTACGAATCATATTCCCCACTCCGAAACCTCTAGGGAAAATGGGTACAAGTTTAGGGCGCAGTGATTTCTGGGATTGTTTGGGTGCACAAGCGTTAGTTATGATTGGTTGATGGTATTCAAGGCAACCATATGATCCTAGAAATCGTTGTGCCCAAAGCTTGTACCCATTCCCCATATAGATTCTGGAATGCGGGGAACTTGGGCGGATTCAAAAAGCACTCACGTTGTAGTAAAAGTGGAGTCGTCTGCCGTCCAACCTGCCAATATCTCTTCATCATACAAGTATCTACTGCATTTAACACACTGGTTACAAGAGCATATCACTGCTTCAAGCGCGGTGTCGGGCTGTAGGCCCAGCGGGAGTCCAAATATCACTTCATCTAACATCTTGGTTGTATATTCATACGGATCCGAGTCCTCGCTACTTGCGCTGATAAAAAGCTGCGAATGAGCGGCGGACAGAACCGACGTTTCGCTCATTGTTCTACCGTAATTTGACCGCCTCTTCTGCGAAAAAGCTGTGCCATCGATCGACGTTAAGGAAACGTCGAGCATATCCGCGGCTTCAGACGCCGAAGACATTTCGCTGATCGTTCTTTCTCTTCGTGATTTGATTTCTCTATCAGGAGTGCGTCTCCCTTCAGTTCCATTTGATTCACCGAGATCAAGCAAGCGTTCGCGTGACAAGGCTTTCTCACGCTCGCGTGATGGAGTGCGTGATCGGTCAGGTTTCCGAAGGGACATTCCTCTCCTTGGTGAGTCTGTAACATCAAGATCATTACTTGATCCTGTTGGCGATAAGGAATCTAGGAAAAGCGTGATTTGAATCAATAACATGACAACATAAACAAACAAACAAACAAATAAAAAACGAAAGAACAACGCGAGATTGCAGACTATATTTAATTTATTGGACTGTTTATACGGGTACATGTTTTTTTATATGGGCTATCATTTCGGCATATCGGTGGATACAGACGGTTGGCACGGGAGTCTAGAGTCTTCAGGAGCAATCAGAAAAGAGGAGAGAAGGGGGAAGACAGCAAAAAAGAAAACACGAGACAAGAGCTGCAATCACACACCGATCCGTTCCACCTGTAGTTATTGTAAACATGACGTGTGTAGGGAGGAGGAAGACAGACTGATGAGGATGCTGATGGGAAGGAGCAAGACAGTATGATGAGGGGGAGGGGTGAGAAAAGTTGGCAAGTGAGAGAAAGGTAGCCTTGGACCGACCAGATCCTTGGTGTGGAAAAAGGAAAAAAAATCAACAAGCGAAGAGAGTCGAGCGAGGACTAGCTAAAGATGGGGAAATGGCGGCCTGTTCCCCCACTTCCCCTCTTCCAATTTTTCCCTCGCTGTCTCCTCGGGATATTTAGCTCCCTTCCCCCAAACGGAAAACCTGATCCAAGATAGCTTGAAGAAAGTAGTGAGGGGTGAGTAAACTTGCTCTCGTTGCTAGGGGAGTGTTAAATCAAACTTCAGTACTGACACCTTCCACTGATCGTTTACCTGCCTTGCTTCTTAGTTTTCCCAGTCTTTGAAGTTCATACACAGCAGCAAAAAAATTTCTCAGCTTATTCCACATATGCGAGCTTGTCGTTTTCGATGGCCACTTCCCTTCCATTACAGCCTACAAACAGAATAAAACTAATCACTGTTTTGCCACCAGTCCAACAAATTACTTAAAATGAACCACAGCGAAGATGAAACAAAATAATTATTAAACTAGAGGTTCCAAATTGTAGGTGAAGCGCTGCGAGAAAATATTGGGCAGAACTACATCATAACGTGTGAATGGCATACCAACATTTTAACAACTTCAGACTGTAAATCTACTGAACGAAAACTACAGTGGAACCTCTCCTTTGGGACACCTCCATTCAGAGGACACAAATTTTGGTCCTGGAAAAATGTTCACTTACACTTAGTATCTGTTACCTCTATTGATGCGACACCTCTATTCAAGGGAAAAGGCACACTACGACTTCGTCGCTCGCTTGGAAAGTACAGAGAATACTTCGAAAATTGGAAGCAGAGCTCTTTGAAAGAGTTCTCGTCCTTGAAACGCTTAAAACGAATGTTATAACAACAAAGAGTACTTACCCGATTGTAATAGCCATATGTGACAGCATTCGGAGTTATTCCTTGGTTTTTCATCTCAAACAAAACCTGTACAACAAAACAGGCATTACCCCGGAACATTTCAAATGTAGTGATTTCAACAGTACCTTCAAACGCCATTATTTGGTGTTCTCTATTTTTGAAAATGGAACTTGAAGAATTTTTTTCTTGAATTTTGACGTACGTCGCGTGGGAAAACGTCAATAAGGAGTATAAGGAAAGGCGCTTTTTGGCCCACGCACGTCAACCGGAAGTGGACATTATGCATTCTTGGGCAGTGATTTTGAACTCATTTTCGGGCAAATCGTCTGTATAAGAGTAGAGACACTTAACAATACAAATTTGGTAGCGCCTCAAGGCATCTGAAAGGAGGAAAGGGCTCATTTCTGGTAGCCTGCACCACAGACGGAAATGAACTTCTGGTTAAGTCTGCCTGCGAAACAGCGCCGAAATCCTTGTTATGGGCCGCCGTCTGTGTACCAAGATTTCAGTACGCACAATGATAGGCCTGTTAAAGATGCCAATTCGAAACGTATTTCCGGTAATTCATTGAGTCCGTTGGAGGCCCAGAGCAAGGATATAGGCACTGCTTCGGAGACGTTGCCAGCCGGGGTTAAATTAATCAGCGACGAAGGCTACACTTCCGGTTGACGTGCGTTGCCCAAAAACGCCTTGGCTGAAGGTCCCTAAAAAACTGAAATACAATACCTAGCCTGCGAATACAGCCCTTTCTCCTCGCTCCTCGCCGCTAGGAAGGTTTCGCAGGAGCGGCACTAGCAGCGAGCAGCGAGGAGAGAGGGCTGTAATCGCAGGCTATAAAAAAACTCGACACTGAAAAGCTTACCTTAACAGCTAGAGCAGGGTGACCATACTGGCCACAAAGTTGCATTAACACTCGATAACACACCTGTTTAAGGAGAATTTAGAAATGAGTCGACAATAATAAAATACACTTCTCTTGTTCGTCAACATCAGTGGCTAGAGTGCTTTGTTTTTGCTAACCACAACAAGCACATGAATTGGCGCCACGTTTGACCTTGATTACAGTTTTTCCGTGGTGCAACCGTAGCTGCACGAGTAAACGTGACCGATCGTGGCACCATGCGATCATGGTGAATGACCCCTACAATGGTTGCAAGGTAACAAGAACGATTGACACCCAAAGGGTGATGTCGTCGGAGAGCGAGGCTTCCGAACGAGGTACGAAGTGCCGAGGTTCAAGAAAGAATGCTGTAAACCGATCTTGAGCTTTCTCATATGTTGGGTAAAGAAACTGTAAGGGTGGGATGACGTAATTGAAATAAACTTTAGTCAAACGTTTTTTCAACGCTTTTAACTTTCCCATGACAAACTAAACCTTTATCGACCCTGTGCAACGAACGAAGGCCACGGAAATACAATTTGTTCATGCGTTCAAGACACCGCACTGCGTGATCGCGAACGCAACGCGTTTTACAATCGACATAGCCAAACACGTAGCAAACTTAAACACGCAAAGAAAAGAGAAGACGGACAGCCCGATCACAAGTTAAGCAAACTTACGAGATCAGCCATCTGTCTTCGAGCAGAGTGAATTCTCGGATGCAAAGGTCACAAAATCACCAATGTTACATTTAACTAGAAGACTCACCTCATCTGGAAGTTTGACCTTTTTTTTCTGCATCTTGCACAAGATCTGGGGGAAAATAAAATGTTATGTTTTTGAAAACCATAAAGAGCGAATTAACTTTAACAGATGTCAACGGATTAGACTGTTCACAGTCAACAGTTTTTCCATACGAGCGGTCTCTGTCACCTCTTTATTTCTCGTCTCCCTTCCCCATCACTATATAATCCCCGAAACCCTCCCCCTCAGCACATTTAAAACCAATTACAAGTTGGCTGCCAGTGACGGTGAGAGCTCGATATCGACGAAATTACGGGAAAAAATAGGGGGCTGTGAACGGTCTATCCCCGAATAATCATTTCGACTAACCTCAAAAGCCACATGCAACACTTTAGCTTTATTGTGGTGAACTTTAACATAAGCCGGCAGGTGAATAAACCAGAGACTGTAACAGTGAGCCACCAAGCACCTGACAAGGAGAAAAAACCGACTATAAACACAATGTGCGACTACCAGAACCGAGGCCACCTAGACAAGGTTGACCAATTGGATGATGGGAAAATAACAATACATTCGAGAAAGTTAGTTGTCAATCAATCATAATTATCACGGAACGAAATCAACCACATGGATCGAAATCAACCAGTTACGTACAACCTACTTCTGTGACCTTTTAAAACCGCTGAATGAAGCCTATGTTTCCTGAGAAGTCCGTTAGAGTGTGAAAAGAGGCGAAAAATGTAAATGTTAGTCATATTTTTGACTTGACGTCTCGAGATGAGGTCGCATGTTTATTGCAAAGTGCGACAATGGAAGCGAAGAAAATTGCTGGTAGATGACAAAATAAAATAACAACTTGTGTCGAACAAATATGTCTCCTGGGTGTTATACGTAAAGTTTCGAATAGAAAAACATTGACTGATTAAACATTTTGCTTTCTTGAAAAACGTTTGCTATCAATATTTACATTTTTTGCTTCGAGTAACTTACTGTTTTTTTACGAGCTGCTGATTTGCCCGCTACAAACTTTCTTGGAATGTATTGTTATTTTCCCGCAATCCGATTGGTCAACTTTGTCTAGGTGGCCCCAGTTACAGTAGCCGCGCTGTACGCAAATACTGACAAGGGAACTAAAGTAGAAACCAACAATCGTATTAGCCTCACGGATAAAAAATTCAAGCCTGATAATTTGAGACAAAAAGTGTTCTGTCGTTAATCATCATCATCATCATCATCATCATATATTATTATTATTATTATTATTATTACTATTATTATTATTATTATTATTATTATTATTTTATGCCCTAGTTAGAGTTCTGTATCGGCAGTGTAAATGACAAATAAAATGTAAATATCTTAATATCCACTTCCCTCCGAGCTTTTCAGGGATAAATAACAACACGGTATTGGGTGACTTTGCCACACTACTTAAGGTGCAGTTTAAAATTAATGAATTACATGTTTGGTTATGACCAACAGGTCATGAATGCCCTCTAATGTGAATATGAAATGGGAAAGACACTAGGGGTGGATACCGCGAGAGCTTTGGATGTTCCTTTTGGATCTTTACGCCCAACAGTAGCAAATGGAGTGAAAGTTCTGTGGCACAGGGCCTACGATGTTTCGTCTTCATGCCAGAAGACTACA